TATATATATATATATATTTGAGAATTGTTTCATATTACATTTTTAGAATCGCGAGAGAAATAATGGAGGAATAATTCTTGAGATCTTTTTCGAGCTACATTACATAATTTTATTTCAAAGGAAAATTAGATTTCTGCAGCAGTCTGAAATTCTAATAGGAATTTAATATTCACTGGTAACGTTTAAGTTGGTTTAATGTTAAAAGCATAAAATATAAATTTCCCTCTCGTTCGACTATTTCTATCATTAAATATCTCTATTGTATTTAATCTCATACTCGTAAATCAGATTCAAATTTTATAAATTTTTCTCTCGAATTCATCTCAATAATTCTTTCGATAAGATTTAAATTTAAATAAGAAAATTTTTAATTATTGTATATTCATTATATATCGAATCGTTGCTTTTCACATTTCTTTTCGATTTTTATATAAGAACACACGTATCCAAGGTTTTCCATTATCGAAACACGTTTATTTAGTCGCGGATCCAAATCAATTAGACTTAACAAACGACAATTCAGCTACAACTTACGACTTGTTTTGCAGAGGAACGTTCTATCGCGTACACATGGAGACGCGAGAAACGTTTAATTGGATTGCACAGCGTAGCCAATTTTCGTGTGCGAATATTGCATTATCTTGTTCATTATCCGCGATCGAAAAACAACATTAAACGTCGATGCATTATCGAGGGGGGCGAAATTAATTATGTCGAGGCATCGTTTAATTAGCTTTGTTAATTAATTCCATTTCACGGGCAACAAGTAACGATAAATAGCGCGAACTTGTTCAATGCCGATGATAAATTAATATTGATACAGGTTGACAAGAGATTTCAATGTTTCGAATAAAATTACACTCAATCGAAAAATATTAAATTATATTTAGAAATTTTAGTTCGAAAATTTTTAAATTCGAAGTAATAATTTTTGCAATTTGATTTTTTGGGATTATTCCAAGATTAGATTTAATTCATCTTTCGAAATCGGTCAAAGCCTTTTTTTTTTAAATTTTTAAACTTCCCAGAAAAGTATTTGTATATAAGAAATTAAAAATATTTGACGTTATATTATGATTTTTGTGATTCGAAATTTAAAAAAATAATTAATTAAAATTTAATCAATTAAATTTAAAAAACATGCACACATATTTAAATCTTCTTTTTCAAAATTCTAAATAAGATAATATCGATATTAAATTAAATTAAATTTCGCATCTATTTTGTTTTCTAAAAAATTTCAGAAAAATTCCTAAAACATCCACTTCACAGAAAGAAACATGCAAAAATTGTACTCCTGATTGATTTCAAGAAACTACATTACATTTATATCTCTGATAATATCAATTCGATAATATAATAAATCGAAGTTTCTCTCAGAGGCCTGGAAACTATTATTAGTTTATCACGATGATACAATGAATCGACGTATATCATAAAGTTGAGAATTATGAGAAGAGGGGAAACGTTATTTTAACGTGGTAGCATGAAGGCTTAAGGATGTTATCGACTTTCTAGACGCATCATATAATAAAGCCTGATCCCCATTCGAAACAATATAACTCGAACAAATAAAATCTTTCTATGCACATTGGATCGTATATATCGATCGATGGTTTCAATTTGAATAATCGCGCCATTTCTCGTCGTTTCCGGCCGAACTTGCAAACAAATGTTCTCAACATTGCAAATAAAATTATTGTGCAAATTTTTGTGAACACACGTCTTGAATGAGTAAGTAAACGCGTTTTGTTAAGATTTCTTTTGTTAAATTTCTCGATTAATCGAAACGAAGGAAATTTCCACGCGACGAACGATCAAAATGTTTAATAATTTTTAATAAAATTTTTCATATCAAGATATTAATTGTAGACACAATTGCGTTTACATTTTGTTTAAGTGAAAATTGTTGCATTATATTTCGTGACGTATAGAACGTGGATTATGTCGAATTTGGTCAAACAATTCCAATTCCTAGTTGAACAGCATATTCCGGATAATGTAATAGTAATGCGCTATTGTGCATTTCCTGGGATTCAAAGAGGATTATTTATCGCGGCCTTCTAAAATAATTAAACCTAGATTTGGACAAACGTTTGTTTCTAATTGAATAATGAATACGAAATTGCAATAATCAAAAATGTATCATTTTTCGAAATCGATTCGTTTAATGATTATAAAATTTTCCTAAAATTTATTCTTCTTTCTTGAAACATCTCTTCAAAGAAAATTCCGTATTGATTACGATATTAAATCTACGCTTCAATTAATTCTTCTTAAATTAAATTTTGCATCGACTTTATTTTTCAAAAAATTTAAATTTCAGAAAAATTCCTAAAACATCCACTTCGCGTAAAAACATGCAAAAATTGTATTCCTAAAAGATGATCCTCCTTTCCAAACAAAAGCTTATTTTCAACTTAATCCAATTGTTAAGAATATTATTGAAGAGATGATGATTACCATTAATCAATCACAGTTCGATGATTCCATTATTACATTAATTAAATCTAAAAAAAAAAAATATGAAAATAAAATAATATCACACTCTAAATCGACGAAAAGATTATCCCTTAATATAATTGCATATATAAAATATATAATATATAAAATATAATTGCATTTTGAATACGGTCCCTCGATCGTTTAAACGCAGACCCTTGGCCTATCCTGGACGGCGGCCTGACATTGGCTTTACTCGGCTCGAAGCGATTGGCAGCGACGTAATAATTGTCGACGACGCGCAATCTGCATTTCCCCCGATGAGAAACGATACAACACAGGCCGCCATTGTCTTTCAGAGCGGCGCAGCAGCGCGTTCTATCGCGAAATGTTAAACGTTACTCGCCTCCGATGACCGATTTTCTCTCTCCTTTTGTTCCGTCCTTTTCCTCCTCCTTTCTTTTTATTTCTCTATTTTTTTCTTTTCCTCGGAGAGAATCGATGCGCATTATCACGGATAATAACCATCAGAAGTCAGATTAGATATAATTCGAGACACACATTTTTTATTTTATATCGTGAAATATTTCGCTTCGAGTTTCCTTTTTTTTTTTTTTTGTAAATCAGTTATCAGAGTCGCGTTTCAGATTTCTAGTAATAGTTGATTCTAGGAAATTATTAAACCAGGATTTACATTTGAAAAAAGTATTTCCCTTTGATTCTTTATCCGTTTCCAGATTAGCCGTGATATTTGATACGCGTGTGCAAACACGTAAACATTAATATTCGTATCGGCAAAGGGGAGGTCGGAGAAGGGGCTCGAGCTTCCCCCCTCCCATCCCCTTTAATCTTTGAACGATCATGCAATCATAGATCATGCGATCTTGAATCTTTAATATCACACACAATTACTATTCCATAATTCATATCAACATCAATTGTATATACAGAAGGAGAAAAACGAAATAGGAATAGATAGATAATATAGATCGATCGCGTCTGACGAGTGGCGTAGATCGGACATTTATCGGACAGGTAACATGCATTACGATGCGTCGGTAAGTGGTATAGGTCGGTGAACGGTCGGACAGGCGGATTAGGATCGCCGCTCACCTTGATTCGAACCATCATGTTCAAGTGGCCTTGGCTGTACTGCTCGATCACATCACGTACATCGTACGGTTTCCTCGCCTGCTGGAACTTCCTTCTGGCCACGAAATACTTGATCTTCCTGATCGCCCTTATGGCGTTTCGATGCGCCTCCGTCAACCTGAAAATAACAGCGATCCTACTTTTAGCCAATTCGCCACAAGGCGATAAGCGTGCATCATCGAGTATGATATAAATCACTTTTTTCTTCGATTCACGTTTTCTTATAGCTCCATCTCGCGCGAAATTGTTTCACGTATCGATATATATTCTTTACACTGACAATAATAAATATAATATTTGTCACTCGAAATTCGTTCCTATTTTTAAAATTTCGAGAGAGAGAGAGAGAATTTTTCGAAAAGAAAAATCGTCAAATATCAAAATTTTCGCCGAGAAAATTTTACAAATTTGATCTTTTCCGCGAGAAGCATATGGTCAACATATTTTCGAAAATTCTTATTTGATCAATAAACTTCTTATTTGAGATAAGAAGGAATAAAAAAATAAAAAGGAAATTAAAGAAGAGAGATGTTGCATTCCTTTTTATCGTCGCGTTTCACGATCAATATATCGCAAAATAATTATCGGCTCAAGAGAAAACGACAACGGTTATTGATCGTTCGCCTAACATCGCCTGTCGATATACCAAATTATACGCAAACACACTTCGTCGTCGGATTCAAGTAGCTGCCGCTATGGCGCGACACGCGTGTACCAATCCGCCTACGCTCTCCCAACTCTTCAACGGAGACTTTACGGGGGGAAAAGTGGCCGCCGTTCATCCGTTGTTTACGATTTCAACGTTGGTTCACCGCGAGCAAACAACGCTCCCCTCGTCACGGAGCGTAAAATGGAACACGAGAAAGATTTCGTGTATATATATATCCTCTGGGAAAGGATTCGTGTTATCTAACAATGATCTCGAACAATTGATATTCCAACATCTCTTATTGTCGAGAGTAATATTTGTTAGATCTTCTTTTCTTTTCTTTTTTCGACGAATCAAATTTTCGCCGAGAAAATTTTACAAATTTGATCTTTTCCATGAAAAGCAATGGTCGATATATTTTTACTCGAGACAAAAGAAAATTCCAATAGCACTTATGGAGGAGACCATTTATATTAAATTGTTGAAACTAGAATTCATACCAAATAAAAAGAAAAAATATTTTACAAATGAGATAATTTCTAAAAACTCTCTACGTCATTTCTTCTATCCAGAAATTAATCACGCTTCAGCAATCTTGCTGAAAATAATAAGAAAAACATCCGTGTGGCCGCGCTTCAATAGAAAGAATTTAAAACGAGATCTTCCTTTTCCCCCCCCCCCCCCCCCCACCCCTTCTTGCCACATTCTAAACGACTCGGTATTTTTCAATTCTTCATTCACAAATGTGTCGCACAAATTCTTAATTCACAGGAAAAAATTGGAGTGGCTGGGCGAAAAACCCAGTCGGCTATTTTCACAAACGATTTCACGTTTCAACGGCAAAGCTGTTGGAAAGCTCACGCTTCGAAACGAAGGAAAGGGGAGAAAAAAAAAAAGAAGAAAAAAGAGAGAGAGAGAGAGAGAGAAGAACGTAGATAGAAAACAGAGAAACTTCGAAACGCGACTTGTCTTTGTGTCGGAGGTTCGAGTGGCAGACTAGCAAAGGATATAGGCCGTCCGTGGAGCGGAGTAATGCACCGGTGAAAAAAGCACTTACGTGCGGTGCTTTTTCGAGGGGAGAGGGGGAGAAGTGGAAGAGACAGACGAGAGAAAGAGAAGAGCTTTTTTCAGGAGAGCGAGGTAACGTTCCGTTCCGCTTTCGAGAATGGAGACTTCCTCGAAATGTCAATGCCACGAGCTCGAGAGATTTCATGGATTCGCTTTTTTACACGATCGTTGATTTTACGTTGATTTATCGAAGATCATTTTTTAATAATAATAAATAATTTCTTTGTACTTAAAAAATGGTTGGTTAAACGTAGATGAGAAGTCGGAAAATAATATAATTTAATAATATAATTTAATAATATAATTTGTATGTAAAAAATGGTTGGTTAAACGTAGATAGATAGACTGCAAGACTGAGAAGTCGGAAAACTTCGGGACGAATCGGAAAAATTCGGGCGAGATATCGAAACAGTCGATTAATCGATCCTTGCTGTTCGATCGAGCGGATAATTCGACTTCGCGTTAATTCGGCAAGGATCGGATACGTTCGGCTTCGTTCCAGGATACAATCATTAATGAAAATAGGAGGAGTCGATCGTGGCCGATTTTTAACGAACAAAACCGAAGAGAAATCTATATAACGATATAACAGAGTATTGAAATCAATTTTTCACTTTTTACGGAATATGATCGAAGCAACGAGAACAAAATATCGATCGAATATTAAAATTAAATTTATCGTGAGGAAAGTTTGGCAATTTGAAATTAAAAGTAAAAATATCCTCATTCGAAAATCCTTTTCATCTCTCCTATAAAGGTTATCACTATGTATTTCAACAGCAATCCTCGACCGCAATTCAAATTTCTGCTAGCCGCACACTTTATGTATTTCCTTTGCGGTGAATTCAAAGATCGATCGAATGTGGAGGCTACGAATCGTAGCGCGTTTAATACTAACGAGATCCAGTTTGAATTGCTGTTTCGAGCCATTTCGAGCTTTGTATCACGGTAGAGACCAGTACGTATGTACGTGTCGGACGAAAATTCTTCGGTTAATATCGATCCCGTATGCAAAATGAATGTAATTTGCATAAAGATACAGACGATTTTCTGGTCAACACTTGATTTTCCACGTTGTTTGTTATCGATGCGCAAACGAAAAATAATCAAACGATAACTTTTAAAAAATTTCTATTACATAATCTAAGAATCCGAGTTAAAGTTTATAAGTTCTCTAAATTATTTTAAAAATTATTTTTAAAGCATGTTGTATTTAAATAGAGCTCTTTAATAAACTGATAAAATTGTATCAACAATTATTCATTGAAATCTTTAAGAAATACATTAGCAATTTGTGCACACCTTATTCCAAACTTTAAAAAAATACTTCAAGATACACTAAGTAAGTTACTCAATCTATTTTTCAATTTATGCTTTAACATTTTTTTCTTCCTTTAAAATATATTTTAAATATCCCCTCCCCCCCTCCAAAATATTATGCAAACTATTTTTTCAATATAGATAGAACTCACAACTCGTTCCCCTCTAGTTCCTTCTTAAAACGTTCTCTAGGTATATATATATTTCCGCGCGAAAATCCGCACGAGATGGCATAAGGAAGAAGCGTACTTACGTGGTAACCCTCTGCGGTTCCTCGATATCAATGTCGATTTCGTCGCTGGTAGCCTCCGTGACGGAGCTCGTCTGCGAGGTGAAGAGGCTTCCCCTGCCAACCGGAAATACGCTACTCACACTACCAAACTCGAGAAACTAGTTCGCACGACGTTCAAAGCCGCTCCAGAGAAAGTGCCCTTCAGCCGGCTGACATTTCCTGTCACGCCAACTTTCCCCGATCTATCTATTATTTCACTGCGAAATTTCCAAAGGTTTTCACCGATTTTCTTCACAACGCACACTTATGCTGTACTTTGATATTTCACATTCAATATTGATAAAAATGAAATTTTTTGACAATGTAATTGTATTCGATAATTTCGAAAATCTTTGGTTTCTTTAATATACGAAGAGATTCTGAAAATTATGTATAGAATCGAAAAGTAGATGATGTGGAATAATTTCTCTAGTTTGAATTAAAAAATTCGACGATTCTTAAAATAAATATAATTTTTCAACGACTTATTTCTAAAATTGTGTTTTTCCTTTTTTTAAGAATTTTAAATATTGAATTATGCAAATTATTAAAATTATTATTAATTAAAAACTACCAAGTTATTTAATGTCAAATTTATATTGCGCGTCAGTCGGCTTTTTAGCTTCTCTCTCTGGAGCGAATTACAAAATTAATTACAAAATTAAGCAGCTAAATTATGAGAATGAAAGTATGTGTACATACATACGAATAATAACGTAATTATTTACTTAATTTGCGTCTATTATAATTTAATTAAACGACAACTTAAAAAAAAACCTCAATTAAACATATACTCAAAGTTTACCCAGAAAAATCTGCACTAACAACATAACCTCAAAATGTTCCGATTCTCAAATTCCAAGTTATACATTAATGAGATTCCAAATTTTCAATAATCTATCTAAAAATGATTCAACAACCCAATATATTCTTCCCTTCTTTCAACTCTAATCAAATACTTCATCTATCGTTTCTAATTTAATCAATCTCTCTCGTTTAATCACCTTAATCAAGCTTAACCTATCATTACACGTTAATCATTATACGTTGGCATTATACTTATTTAATGAAATAATCGGATCCTTAAGGAATTAAGAAAAAATATATACAAATCGATCTTCACTCACCGATTATCGCGTCTAGCACGATTAGGCGTGCCCGCTTTCGGTTCCTCCATGTAGAAGATAACGTCTCCCTCGTTTTCCATCCTTTGATTGTCGTTCTGGTCGCCGGTGGCGCCACCGCTCGACATGCCACCGGATATCGTGACCGGCGGCAACGACTGTTGCTGCTGCTGCTGTTGTTGCACGTCCATTCGATTCCTCGATTTACGCCTCTTCAGCACGCTCGCCTTCTTTGCCACCTGGATCATCAGAGACTGAACCCCCGGTGCCCTCCCATTACAACACACGTCGAACACAACATGCACTATCCCTACTAGCGAGCACCACAGCTCGGCCACGGATCCATCTGAAAAAGCTTCCTATTCTTGCCAATAGAGGTAACATCTGTGCGCTTGAGAACTTAGGCTCGGGCCGGCCGATATTACACGGGTAAGGATCATCTCTTTCTGAATATTATCATCTTGTCGTTCGTGTCTGTTGCGATAGAAATTTCGAACTTTTGTAATTTTAAACTTTAGAATTTTTTTTGTTATCATATTATTTGTACGAACAATTCTTGTTGATTCTACGTTGAGGTTAAAATAAAAATTGATCTGTAAAAATGTTGTCGAGGCTTATTTATCAAGTTATAAGCAATTCAAGCAAATTGAGTTAGACGAAGCGAGACGGGAATGGAGTGTAAGCCTCTTTTCATCGACGTAAACTTATATTGCTTGTAACTTAATCGATAAACCTCGATCGATATTTTTCTACACACAACTTTTGCGTTTGTTTTCGCTTCTAGAATCGAATCAAGATTTTTTTATGAGTTTGAAAGTTCCAATTTTTCACAATTCGCTTATAATATATATTTAAAAAGGAAAAAGAGGGGAAGGGGAGAAGAGGAAGTTGAAAATAAATGCGATTATATCCATATCTCTATAATTGTAAATAGTCCATCTTCTTTTTAATATTCTCTGTGCAGCAATCTTTTTGAAGAAGAAATTCGATCACGATTAGACATATTATTCGAACAACCGTGTATATAGCAAAAGTAGGCGAGGATTGTATCAGGTTGAATTAGGTGATCCTTGCAATTCCAGTTTCAACGTGATTAATATGAATCTCTATGCTCGTCCCTGATTATTACCGACGATGACACACTGATAGCGTATCAAATTCTTGATAAGGGTATGCCACTGGCTAAATGTGGGAATATTATTCCAAAATGATATAATCTACATTTAACGGTGTCACTTGTTTCAAACTTTATTCCATCGGTTGTTGAACATTCAAATAATTAAATTGGGAATAGGAGGAAATAACATGGAATTTTAACATGGAATATTTGCGATAATGAACAAATATATATATATCGATACATAAATCGTTTTTTATAGTTATCCAATATATTATATACATATTTTTAGAAAAAAAAAATAATCTTCTAGTATTAAACAAGAAAATTTCGTTGCTTCTTAAAAAATTAATTTCATTGAATAATTTCACACGTAATTACCTCTGCTTTTGATGTTTTTTTGTTACAAAAAAAAATGCAAGAAAAAAAATTTTTTTTTTCGTTAAAAAATCTAATTACAACTCTCTACTTATATCTTAAAAACCAAGCAAATGGAAAAAAGTAATTAAAAAAAAATTACTAAATTTTCAGAAATTAATTAATGGAAATATGGAATTCTCGAGGAAAAAGAAAGTGGAGAAAACGAATTGTTTACCGTACTGGTAAAGATGAAATAAGAGGATGAATTCTTTTTACTTTACTTTTATCGAATTGTTTTTTTCTTTTTTTCACAAATACGTCCGCAATCGTCCACGGCTACGTCGAAAACGAAACGAGTTTCCTGACAATGATGACAAAAGTGGGTCACTATCAGTTTTCAAATTATGGTATTTGAGGTTGGCAACATAAAGTCACGGTTAACGTCATATTTCAGCCTTTTAAGCGCTTAAGAAAGATTCCGGAAAGAAAATTTGAAAAGCGAGTTCATCAAATCCCTGTAATCAACGTAGCTTCGTCGGCTCGTGAAACCTTTATGAAGAAAGTTTTATGATTCTGGACAGACTCCGCTGTATTTGCGATATCGAGTAAAAAATTTCGATGTTCGAATAATATGTCTGATACTTTATTCTAATTAATTCGTATTTGATAACTCAAAAAAAATATAATTTATATATTAAACAAAAATCGAAAATGAAACAGAATTCAAGAAAAAAGTGAAAAGAGGTTAGGTTCGAGTCTAAACTATTATATTCTATGTAATACTATATTTTATATATTGACATTAAATAAGAATCGAGAATGAACAGAATTCAAGAAAAAAATAAAAAGAGGTTAGGTTCGAGTCTAAACTATTATATTTTATGTAATACTACATTTTATATGTTGGCATTAAATAAGAATCAAGAATAAAACAGAATTCGAGAAAAAAGTGAAAAGAGGTTAGGTTCGAGTCTAAACTATTATATTCAATATTCATTCCAAATACTTAAAAACAAAGAAATATGAAAAACGAATACAAGAAATCGAAAAAAGAAAGTATCAAAATAAGAGATTATAAATTAATATCACGATTGGAAAGCGCTAAAATCAAAAACGAACAAAAATAAAAAAATACATAAAATCAATAAAAAAAAAAAGATTAAGAGATTAGATTATCCCAAACCATTATATTCAATTCCACATAAATAACTTTTCGATTGTACATGAAAAAACACATAACAGTAAAAAAAAAATATATAACATACAAAAAGTTATAATAAAAAATAAATGATGAAAAGTCGCGTTTTTAAACACGTTCTTCCAGCACGAAAGGCGGATAAATATTTCGCATCAAGATCGAGGAAACAATCGGTTGGGAGGGAAAGGAGGATGGTAGCGGAAGTATTGGAACAGCCGACGAGCATAAATTCTCGTTCTCCGAGGAGGCGTTCGCCTTTTTGCATTTGCAGGCCGATGCGAAAATAAAATGGCGACACGTGTATGTATACCGAGTGAAACGACGGTGAAACGATTCTGCTCTCGCGCGACATCTCTCGACATGTACGATTGTAATAAAAATTATATTGTACGTGTAATATACGCGAAGTACGTAGTCCCTGGAAATAAGAGGGAACTGTGTAAATTCTGATCAATTGAAATGCGGTTTTAAACTGGTTAGAGTTGTTAGTACGCTAGTTTGAGTTTTGACCAATCGAATTGCGGTTTCTCGATTGCGGAAATTGTGAGTATAATGAATTTTGATTAGTTGAAATGTGGTTTTTCATCACGGTTAACGTTTCATAACCATAAATTTGCGAATTTTTACGGGAGGAAATTAATTTGAAAATTTATACATATTAAAAATTTTTGAGAGAAATGGAATTTTTAGGGAAAAATATCTAATTTTTTATTCTTTTTATGTGATTTTTAGTTGAAGATTTGTACAATACTGGAATATTAATCTAGAACGAATTGTAAATTAACGAGAATCATAAGTTAAAATTAAAAAGAAATTTGTTGCAAAAAAAAATGGTTACATCATAACGATTAATATCGAAGTTATTATTATATAATTTTATGTATTTTTCGAAACGTTTCAAGCAGAATTGTTTCAGCCATCATCATCGTCGATTCAGATTGTACGTACAGGATGTTAACAATATCAAGAATATTAGTAATGATTAACATCCGGAAAAAGCGTGAGCCTAAAAATTTTTTTATCTCCAACTTTTTATATAACCACTTATCCGTTTATCTCCATTCCTCTACTAAACTAATTTTATTATATCAATTTTCAATAAAAAAAAAAAAAAGTAATCGCATTATTATATTCGAAATATATTTTCAAAAAATAATAAAAAAGGTACGTACATATATTCCCTTAAAGATAGATAATTTAATATTATAATTAAATTTGTTAAAGCGCAATTGAAATAATAAAAAAAAACAAAAATTCAAAAGAGCAAGTTGAATATAAAAATATACACAAATACGAACAAGTACGAATAGAAAAATAAATAATTAGCATCGAAGCTTCTAAATAATTAAGCGTTTTATGTAAAAATTACAATTTTTCGGATCTACTCGATTTAATTTTGCCACTTTTCGTTCGCGCATAATAAAAAGCATGGAAAATTTAAATTTGCCCAAAACGTTAAGCGCTTAAGCCTTAAGAACGAAAACGAGGATAAGAATAATAACGTAC